CTTTTCAATTATCAACATTGATTATTTTATGGATTTCAATTTTTATTGTCTTTCCATTTGCATTTACAATTGAATATCGTTATCAACGATGTTTATTCTTGTCTCTTATTCTTTTACTTTTGATTCAAATCGGTTGTTTAATAATACAAACTCTCATTACATTACATTGTATTATTAATCTCAAATTTGTCTCTACATCTTTGGATTATGGTAACAAAAAGAAAACATATGAAAGTTAATTAACTAGAATTGGTTTGTTTTTTTATCTTAGGTTATTGGTCAGCAATCATTGCTGCTATTGGTACAATTGTTTCAACTCTTTTATTAGATCATATTTTCATTTGGTGTCGTAAGTCAAATTTAATAATACGATAGATAGTTTGATAAACTAGAATTTCAAATAGGAAATCAACAAGGACCAACAAGAGTTAGTCCTGTATCACCAAATCGATCGATTCATCGACCTACATCACCTCTTGATCCAGCAGTATTGGCCGATTTTCAGCGTCATTCAGAAGCACGTTTACATCATATTTACAGTAATAAAGATGGAACAAGACATTTTCGTATTATACCCGGAAAGCAACGTATGACGTTTCAGTATTTGCACTACTATTTATTTATTTTTTTTGTCTATTCTAGATCCGAATGGTGCCCGAACAAGTGTAGTAAGAATACGAAGTCTTGGTAGCAGGACCGATGAACATAAATTATAAACGCAGTGGAAGATAACAATTTTATTTATGTAAACTTCTCATTTTTAATAAACATGATAAGAAATGTAAATAATTCCACCAGAAAACAGAGAATATTGATGGAAAACCATCAGAAATACATCTCTATTGGAACACGTTGTTTTCAAAAAGTACTTGTCAGGGTAGGGTCAGCAGTAAGGCGGATTGTAGGATACGAGTGTCATAACTTGTCAAACTGCAAGTAATTCTACACATTAGATATTGTCAAAATCTTTTTTAATATTATACAGTAAGAAAAAGAATAGAAGTGAAAGTGAACTGACAACCCAATTAGATTGGTCACAAAGATATTCAACAGAATAAGATGTGTCGCTAATCTATTCTTTATACATATAACTATACAAATGTACATATAGTGTTTTAATTTTGTGTTTTATCTTATTCTTCGAACAATAATTGAAACAATTAACATACAACACGAACATTCATCTGTAGTATCTACAACAAAGTTTAACATTGCCAATGAGATACCAAAAAACAAAAAGAAAACAATTTAGTCCTTCAAATGATGTTATGAAAAAAAAATTCTTTAATATTTCCATAACTTGCTTTATAAGCAAAATTGTTGAAAGGCATTCATAATTGATGTTTGTGAATTCTAGGGAAAGAGCGAGTGATGAAGTTGTATAACAGCATAAAGAATGAAAAGATTCTACTATGAATAACACATTTAAGATTAAATAAGTCTTGAATGATCTTTAGGAATAATCTCTTATTTGGAATTCTTGCAAGTTCAACTACATCGACACGTGTTTTCAGTTCATTAGGTCGAATTTTGAAAAAAAAGAAGACAATCATTAAATCTAGATATTGTTGTTGATGATTAGAAATTTTCGAGATATGTATTATTGTTTTTGTTTGCTCTGATGATTGAAACAAATCGAATGAGATTGCATAAAAAACTGATATAAAAGTTTGGATCTTTCTCTAATGTCAAACAGGACCAATTACAGGTCACAATAATGTGCCCTAGAGCTATCCTTCTAATATATCTCTGATTATTATGACCATCACTGTAGTCATGTAAAAGTGAATTGTCTGGATGAACAAGTTTTGAAGAATCGAACCATACCGACATAAGTACGCTAGCAGAATCTCTACGAACGACTAATGTATTGGTTCATTCAGTGTATAATGGAACTTACTATATTGTTGAATTGAAGTATATACATATATCAGGGCTCGAAACGGGACACTTTTTCATGGTCCGACCAGTTCGAAGGAAATTTCGTTTATAAAGACTTTTTTCATTAGGATTTGGAGATCACTTCGGTAATTATCAATGTACTTGAAAGAAAATAACTGGCGTTATGTTGAGTTTGATTAGTCCCGATTCTCGAAATTGAAATAAAATCAATATGTGATAACTTGCATCGCTTGTTAAATCAAACAAACAAAATATGTCCTAAGATATTTGAACTCAATAACGATTATTATGCATAATTCGTTGGCTTTTGGTATAATTTTTTTCATTGGGGACATGTATGGAAAATGTGCCATATTTCAGAGTGAAAATGGTTTTTTTTTCGATTTTGACCAGTCAGTGAATTAACACGTGGTCGACAATAGTATGTTAACAGGAAGAAAAAATGTTTTGATACCTAAAGTCTGAAGGTTCATCTTCAGACTTTAGGTATCAACATTTTTTTCTAGCCACTTATAGATTATTTTCTACTGCGTGCTAACTCGTTGTATAATCAAAATTGGCAAAAGCTTTCGCTTGGAAGAACGATAAAGACCTATGGGATTGCCACTTTTCCAGAAAATGGTAGTCCTCTCATGAATTCAGTCATTAATCAAAGTTGAAGAATTCGATAAAGTATTATTTACATCTTGTACTCTCGACGACGGTTCATTTTCGACACCTGTTTTTCTGTCAATTACTCTCTCATGTTCATTAAGGCAATTTATGCACTACAGAAAATTGCGTGTGGAAGAGCAATACGACTGTTTTATACGATTGCTATTGGCCTATCATATTAATTATTCCTGAAATTAAGATACTTTTTCTATTGTAAAACGTTTTTCATAATATCTAGTATTTAAAGCAGGCGTATAGTTTGGTAGAAAAGTACGAAAAACAAACTATAAAAAGCGTCGCTCACCCAACCTGACAATTTTTGCGGATCGGCCCGTTTTAACGCCTGATATATACATATACAGAAGACAAGATGAAGAAGTGATGTAGGTGTAAGGAAAATGAAGACCTCAATCACACACTTACACCAATATTCTGGAACACATGCCTTTCTCCAGAATGTGAACATAGAACGATAATATCTATAGCAATAATATGGAAGTTCTTCGTTGAATGATGCAACTCAAGAAAACCTTAAACCTGCCATATGTGAAATGCTAAGGATTTTGAAATTGATGGAAACCTAGAGAACAAACGCTGCTTCCTGTTAAAAGTTTTCGCACATAATTGACGATTGTTCTTTGAACAACATATATTTGAATAATGAGTCACGATGGTTGGTGCAGACCTCAGGGTGATAATTATTGCTCGGTTATAGATCAAAACAACCAGCTAGTAGAAGAAAATGCTCGAAATTAATTCAATTCTCGTTACAAGACACTTGGACCAGAAGATAAAGTTGTATTGTAATATAGTATTTTTCACACTTTATTGTAGTCTGTAGTAATTTCTGTGCAAAAAAAACATCGGACATTATCCACATCAGTTCTAAGGATTTATAGATGCATACTGGCTAATAGAACAAACTACACAAATTGGCAAATAAATGCTTCAGCCTTGAAAGAAATCTATTACATTTGATATATAGAAAACATTTTATTCTATAATAAAGGAGAGTCAGTGACACTTCTAAGTTGTAGCGAATGGACAGAGACTTATTCAGTCATGAAGAAGGCTCAATATAAATCTTGCCAAAAAATAGTAAATCACTCATCTTCCAACGACATCTTTTCAAGTTTATCTCATCCGTTGCACAACCACTTCAAGAAGGTTTATTTCCAAAAAATATTCATTGGTACAATTGAATATCCAATAAAAAGAATAAGTCCATTTCAATTCAAACACATATGATTTTATAATAAGATGTTATATAAACGAATTAAGAAAAAATAAAAAGATGCTTCTTCGTCATCGTGAATGGGAACAAATAGTTAAAACAAAAACAAAATGTTTAACAGCTATTTCCATTCTCCGATAGACACTTCTTCGTCATGTAACTCAATCACTTGATCAAATAAATTATGGAGATATAAAAAAGAATATTCTTTGGGAAGAAATAAATTGGTTAAATCAATATTGGGCTCAACCTCCACCAAAATCACGTATAGCTGAAAAATATTGGCAAAGACTATTTCGACATCCAAAAACTTCAACAATTCATATAGATGATGAATCATGTTTCATACTTTGAGAAAGCTTCAATAGGATATACTTTTGACAATTGAAATAGAGTATTCAATAAGTCGTTAGAGATTGAGAATATTGAAATGAAGTCGTATTGCACAAGTTTCTATAACAGTATATTGGCAAAGCATCTTTTCATTCATTGATAATAATAATCATTAATATAGAAACTATTCAACTTTGAATCTCTCTGACTAGTTCATCAAATATGGATCTGTGTTCGATTATCAGTTGAAATAGAACATGTGTCAACAAAGTTTCATCAAAAAGAATCTTTTGAAACTTGGTCATTTTAAACAAATCACTTACATCATAAGCTAAGTATTAACGAATACTTTTCTAATCAACTGAAAAATATAGCTAGTCAGACAAAGAATCAAATAAGACTTCTTTAAAAAAAATTCGTTCCTTTATACCTTGATGCGACTGATTTATATTGTTGGTTAAGGTCTAACTAGAAAAATTCTCTATTATTGAAAGATAATCGTAAATTTAGAAGATCATTTATTTGATTCATGAATATGAGATATGAACAGATACAGGAACAAATACAAGAAAAAAAATAACAATAATAATTGTTTCATCAAGAGAAAAAATAGACAGGTACAAGAAAAAAAAAATTGTTGCAACAAAAGATAATATAGACTAATAAAAGAAAAAAAATGATTATTGCTTTACCAGAACACAGGGATCAATACAAGAAAAAAAAATGATATTGTATCACCAGAAGACAAAAAGATAATACTTGACACCAATAACATAACAATATCATCAGAATAACATAACCACAACCAATACCTGCAACCACTATTAAGAAAAATATAAAAGTTAGTCGATTTTGCGACAAACAGTTTACCTTGATGTTATTTTGGTGTTTGCTCGTTTAATTGCATTTTCAATTTAAATATTTCAAATTCACGTTTCATTTGATTATGTTCAGTTCGAATTTGTTCAAGTTCAGTTTCAAGTTGTTCACATCTAATTCGAAAATGTTCCTTTTCTGGAGTTGTTGTTTCCAATTGTCGTTGTAAAGCTTGATGATCATGTCGAAGTTGATCCATTATAAATTGATTGAAAATAGCGAGAGGTGGTGCTGGACGTATTCCTCCCATTAAATTCCAAATAAAAGTGTTAGGTCAACGTTTGTGATAATGTTATAATAGAATATAAAGGGGTCTTACCTTGATGGCCAAAGGTAACGTGATCAGCTAAGGAGGGGATGTGAGATCA